GTTCCGCGACTTCTTCTACTGACATCTGTTGTCGAAGATTGAAACCACTCACATATCAACGTTGACGCAAAACTCACAGTGTCAGCTTAAAAAACTGGCGGCTATGTGAAAATAGTCTTTCCATATATAGATCAAGCTTAAGTATAATTCATTAAAAAATAATGCGGTATTTTTGAAAAAATGACTGTAAAAATGTTGCCATTTACAGTTCTTTTAATTTCCCAACTCCTGTTGACAAAGGAGGAAAAGCAGCGGAGTTTGTTTGAAAATTTCAGCGTCGCCGTATTCATTCATGCAACGTTAGAATGTCAGGCATTAAATTTTTTCCGTCACAGCAAAATCACAGAAAACCTGTCAATTCAACTAGCAGAATTCCCAATCTTGATGATCCTTCGGTCGACATTCCACAGGACAAGGGATCTTCATCGGTCCATGTCCATTAGCCCCAACAAAATTGTTCCCAACTGTCAAGTTACGCTGTGACGGCCACGGGTCTGAATCACCGTTGCAAAACGTCTTTATCGACAGTACTTAGAACGTTTTTGAAAGATCTTATTTTTATCATCTTTATTCTATGACATGATTTCAGTGGACTTAATGGGTTCCGACAAGCTTTTGAGTGACCGGTCAAGAGGAGTCTTGCAAACAGCTGGATATACGACGGATCCAATGATGACTTGGTCCAGTCCTTTCATGCTTCTAATCACTGGATTTGCTCCAATTTGCTTCAGCATCTTTGATTCTATCTCTTCCCAGTTGACATTTTTGGCCAATTGGGACAGCTTACTTGTACCCCACATGCCACCTGTGTACCAAAAAAAAAAACCTGAATTTTTTGCTCTTATGGTTCAAATCATTTGAGATGACTCCACCGAGGATTGTAGCACCGTGATTGGGATTATCCCGCATTGAATGCAAAATTTAAGGTCTTGAGTCGGTTAGCAACTGTCGCAGGTTAAGAGAAACTCACTACAGTCTCAGGTTCAGTGCTGACTCCTTATACAGTCAAGAACCTAGACGGTACCCTTCCTTAGAGGTCTAGTAACCCACCACACCTAGAAAATAAACATGGCCATAATTCTTTCAAGAGTTCATTTCGATTTGAAATATTTTGTGAATAGGAGGTTTTCACTGGGAAAAATTCAAGAGGAAAAATGAAGCTTTATCGGGGTTTTCTATACAGAGTAACCGTCTTTTCTAAAAATAAATGATGCATCTTTGGAATTGAATCAACTCAGTAAACCTGTATGATGGCACTTGTAGTTTGTTCATGGATTTCATTTTCTTCCACTGGCCGGATTTGGTTGAGTTTTTCCCCTCGCCAAAAACTTTTTTTTATCCGAGACTGGAAATATTCAGGTGGTATGTCTTATCATCAGCAAGGGTTATTTTTTATTTTCACAATAATACTCAAAATGTCTGAATCATAAGATCCCAATGATACTTTCTTCAAAATATAATGTTCATTAACATTACAAAATAGGTATTTATCCTCAACTTCTAGAAACTCTAATGTGAGTCACACCTTTTCCAAGTCTATTTCCAGGATATGAACGCAATGAAGCACGTGATGAACCTGAATAATTTTTAAATGTGCAGTATTGCATTGTTTCTAGCTTGAATCTGTTCCTGATTCAATTACTGTAAAGGGGTAATATAATACCCGAATTTTCTGAAGGCATTTTGGCTGCTATTATTATTTTTTGGCACAGGAAAGAGAAAAGCAATAAAGATACAAAGTGGCCCCCCGCCTAACAGACCTCCAGTGTAAGGGATTTTTGCCAAACAGACCAGCTATGCAAGCAGTTTTTCCTCCCGCCCAACAGACAAAATCCGCCAAACAGACTTCTTTTGGTTTAAAATTACTGTTGAAAATTGAAATTTTTAATTTTTTAAGTAATTGAATTTGTGTAAAGGACTTTTCGTCTAACAGACTCGTCCCTTGCACAAATCAAGTCCGTTAGACGGGGGTTGACTGTACTTTACATGATTAAATTCTTCACTTGACATTTTACTTGCTTATAACATTTTTAAAGCCAATCTATTATTGACATTTTGCCAGAAAGATAATAGATGTCAGTATATTTTCGTGCTTTTATTCACTCAATTTGCAAAATCAGCTCACGTTGTGGAATGTAATCAAAACATGTTTCATTTCATTTAAAGAAAACAAAGTAACTTACTTGGAGAAGCGTATGAATCAAGTGGCGCTTGAAGGCTTTTGACGTAGCAAAAATCTATATTGGCAAATTCGCAGCTCGCTTTGCACATGACGGATCGGAAGTTGGGGTCAGTTGCTTCAAAATCATGGTAAACACGGATCACCCAACCCTCAGCAGCGGGGTAACATTTCTCGCACATTTTCGCCACTGTAGGCAATCGCTGAAGTTTGAGAGAAATCATCAGTTACAGGGGCGAATTTTCAACAGGAAAGCTTGGTTTCCCATCAATAACTTACCTGTAAATATGATGGATTGTCGTATGCACTAAAAGAAATAACTTTTTGGTGGAATCCTCTCAGAGAACTGCTTTGTGATGGACACCGGTCAAGAACCTTTTCATAAGGTTCTTTGTCCTTGATTTCCTTGTCTTGGATAATTATTTCACGTGTACATCCACATTCCTNCTCCATTCAGAAACCATTGAATTGCACTTTCAAATAAAACCTAGTTTTTACTAATTTGAAATAAAAATATGTTTTCTATAAAACGTTCACAATAGTTTGTTTCATGGAAGAGTTGAAAAATAGAAATTTTAAGAAAAGAGTGATTGTGTCAAGCTACTTGCATTCGGGGAATATCTATAATAATAAAGTAATTCACATTTCAATACGAAATATCAGACTCTGCGTTTTACTCTTGAAAGAAAGTTATTAGGAAATGTTTGCCTTCATTTACGCCATCCAGGCCTTTAAAATGAGTTTGAAATCAGAGAAATACAGGTGGTACCTAACAATTTGACCATCCCTCACTTTGGCAATCAAACTTGCTGGGACATAGACTTGCAATTCTAATTTTTGCCCCACAATTCAACATGCAGAGAGATTCAAAATGTCAAATTTTATGTAAAAAAAAAAAATACCACATGTGACATTGTCTCGTAATTTGACGACTTTTCGATTTGACCCTTACCTGGGAACAGATTAAGGTTGAATTGTAGGGTACTACATACCAGTTGTAGTCCTTCAAGAAAATTTAAGTATATAGCATTCAGCCGCAAAAAAATTTTGAGAATAAGCCTTGAACACTGTATACTAGCTAATATTCTAGTCTGCAGAATATAACTTAAATAATAGGCAGTAAATGAAAAGAGCTGATCAAACACATACGTTTCATTGGGACTCATTATCGCCTCTTTCTTCCTTGTTCCAGGCAATAATAGAAAATACACCTGCAAAAAATTACTGATCAGTGAACGAATCTTGCTCCAAGAATTCAGCAACCAGCTTTGACTTTAACTCACTGTAGAACACGCCAAGAGCAAAGTCAAAACCCAATTATTTGCTAATTTCTTGAACTGGGAGAAGCGGAAACTGTCAAGAATCCATCCTGCGAAACGCATTTCTACGCTTTCCAGCTAGAAAAAAATGCCAATAATAATCACAGCATCCAAGGACACGAAAGAGACAATAAAAGCTGTTGAAGAAAAAGTTGTTGATCGAGAATATTTCCTGACCCACCCGTTTTTTATATAGTCTCTTCTTCTCAATGTCCACACGACTGGGCCGACGACGTGTTCCTTTACACTCTTTCCAGGCCAGGTCATGTCAGTTTTTTTGTTGTTTTCGTTTAATGACCTGGAATGACGCGTCCACAAGTTCCCGAATAATGATTGCGTGTGTTTTATGCATCCAACTTGCTTCACTGTGCATGACCCCTATGCGTGCAAACGGCTTTTTCTGGGATCGATGAATGGTATTTCCTTTTTTTTTCTTTGGACGAGAGTTTTTTTTTTTATTCGTTGCTATACGTTCTGAAATTTGGCCCTGAATAATAAGGGTCGATTCACAGGTTCACGGCATGAAAAAGGACTCGAGTTTCGGGGTATTCAACATTATACCTGAGCATTTTCCTCTGCTGCTTAGCGACAGCATAACAATCGTTGGTTGGTCGAACAGAGAGTGATTGAAGACACCTGGAAGACATCCATGTGCAGGTCATACCATGTCTAGGTCATACTTGACTTATGACATGCACACATGGATGCCCACACAAAAGAGGAGGCACGCAGCTCACAGATTTTTGGTGTACCCTATAACTTCTCCTTCATAATTCCCGAAATTGACATGGCAATATTTACAAGGGCTACTGTATGTGATGGATTATTAACCCTTGTGCAGCAAAGTTGGGATATTTTTTTCAAAATGTTCTGCTCAGTAACCCTAAAAATTTTGGAAATCCAAGGCCCAAGTTTGAAAAAAAATCCACTGATTTCTTTAATCCTGCAGAACATTTTGAATGAAAAAATCCTTGAAATAATTTGTATTTTTCCAGCATTCCTAGCATAAAATTAGCACCGGAGATAACTCAAAATAGTGGAAAATTTGCCTCCAAGATTTTTCCTGAATTCAACCTTCCTGTGGGGTCGCAACACGTGGCATGACCCAATCGCAGTATCTGTGCTTGAGGCACGCAAACGTCACCAGGCAGAGGAAGGTACAAGTAGCGGAATCCTGTTGCACACCCAGTTTGCCGCATTGTGGTAAACGGGGTGGCAAGATATCAATCAAGGAAGGAAACCAATGGCTCTGGAGCCCACCCTCTCATCAAAGCATTGCCTGACAATGGGTGTGGAACTTAGCAATTGTCTTGTGTGTATGACATGTTGTGTGTTTGTATTGTGTATCTCTGAGGTTGGCTGAGCTGTGCCTGATTGCCTGTGTGGGTTGTTGAGTAAAAGAGCTAGTGGGACTCCTGTAAGGAGGATCCAGCCTCCTAAAGGCTAAGTACTCTGTCATTCTTTATTTCCAAATTCCTTTGTTGTATCTGGTCCAACAAAATTGGTGGCCAGTGGGTTTGCCTTGAAAAGGCAGAGATTGTAGGCATTCCCCTGTGCAAAGTCCCTCCTTTTTGCATGTTTGTGGTTGGATTTTGCAGAAACCCTTTTAGAATTTAAGCAAAAATCTCCCTGGTGCGACGCGCATCAGTTAAGGGATTTGGGTACTCACCTACCTTGAATTGCAGCTCACTGCTCATTGTCAGACACTTATTTGCCACACACACCACCAATCTCCAGTAGGCTGCACCCATGGCAACAACCGCAGTGGCCAAGCCCAAGGTGGCAGCAGCCCAGACTGTTGTCACAGCTACAGCCACTGCCGCCATTCTTGTGCCACCACCCCAGAACAGGGGATGGCACAATGACAGCAGCAACACTCTGTGCAAACTAGTACACCTGGGGTGGTCCCAATCCCACAGCCCCCCCATGCAAGTGGCAGCGGCGCAGGCACTTGTCCAACAGGCTGCATAGCCGCTCCCTGCAGCAATCCTGGTTGGACCAGCGTGGATCTCAGTGCCACGGCAATGACCTATGCATGGATTGGTCAGCCCCAGACCAGCAACAGGGGCCACAAGATCAGAATACATGTCTGTTCTGTGCAGGACAGCACACCCCCAGGCAATGTACCCTCTCTCTGCAGGACAAGCAGCAGGCAGTCCATTGCCAGTGTCTCTGCATCAATTGCAAGGGGTATGACCATTTTTCACAAGAGTGCCAGTCATCCGGCTGGTGCCATCACTGCCAACAGGGCCACCATTCCTCCACATGTAATTGGGGCCAACCTCGCCCAGCTGCCGCAGCCCAAGATGTGGCAACCCAACACAATGAGATTTCTTCAAGTCACAGTTAGCTTTAAGTAACCCAGTGAGCAAGAAAATGTCCATTTTTGCCTAAAGTTATCCAAACCAACTTATCCAAGAATCTTGCCAAAAACGGACAACATTTGGACAAGTTGGCTTGGATAACCTTGGATAAATATTGAACAACTTGTCCGTTTTTACTAGTTTTGAAGGGATCTGGGAGGTCTTCTGGATAAAAAAAGGACATGTTGTCTGATTTTTATTAAAAAGTTATTGCAGATCCCTCCAGAATTTTTACATTTAGAAATATTCAATTTCTCTCTGAAAATGTTTCAGCCAGATGAGGCTGACACAAATCTTTCATGGACTTAACTTCTTGGTGCATCACTCTCCAATTTATTGTCATGCCAATTATTCTGAGAAGCCTACATAATTAATATATGTAGATAGCCTATCATCTTGTTGACCTTATCTACTGATATCTATCCAGGTATCGTATAATATTTTGTACCTTAGGAATATCCCTATTTCTGAAGAACCTTCTACTCTAATGAGGATTGAATCCAGGACCTCTAACTTGGCAGTCCAGCCTCTTACCCACCTAGCTATAGAACATTACATTAAAATCCTTCCCTCATTTATCCACCTGTGTACTAACAGCTCTGGCAGACAAGCTTGGAGAACTTCCGGACATGTTCTCCAAACTTGTTTTCAAATTTTCTAGGATGTTTGGAGAACATGTCCAAAAAATTTCCAAACTTGTCAGTGAAAATTGGAGAACTTGCGGACAAGTTCTGGACAACTGGAAAAAGATGGAGCCAAGATTTAGAAAAAAGAAGAAAATAATGAACTGGCTAAACCGGAAAAAATCATATTTTTATCATTCTCCACAAAGCACAGAGCTTAAGGGCTTGTCCAAAACTGGATTTGGCAGGACCCAGGAGAGGAACAACCCCGGCACACCATATCGCAGTCATTTGCTCAATTGAACAAAAAATTTAAATCCTCTCAATTCGATCAATTCACTAAACCATCTCGATCCGACACGAGCAGAAACATTTTCGCCAAATTTCTCCTCCCACGCTGTTAAACGCTCTATAATCACTGGACGGAACTACAATGAAGAAACATCCCCTGGGGCAA